CCCCCGTGCCCTGTTTTTTGCTTGAATAATAAATTTTACATATACGCTCTATGTAGCTCTACGTACGTGGTCACCAGCGGTGTATGCATTCACAATTTAATGTTCGGTAATAACGGCTTCTTTTTTTATTTTTTTACAGTGAACCGGCATTCCACCCCTCAGCAAACCCGCCAGCGCGATGTCAGCCCTGAAGAGATTTGAGCACCACAATCCCTCAGAAGAAAACCCGTTCGATTGCACGCTGTGCAGTAAGAAGTTCTCTGTTGCCGGCGGTCTACGTGAACACTTGCGTACACACACAGGAGAGTTGTTCGATTGTACATTTTGCGACAAGAAGTTCACTAAATCATCCAAGTTGCGTGTACACCTGCGTACTCATACAGGGGAGAAACCGTACGCCTGTCGCATGTGCGACAAAAATTTCTCTACTAATGGCAGTCTACGTGAGCACTTGCGAACACACACAGGAGAGAAACCATACGCCTGTAGCATGTGCGACAAAACGTTCTCTCGAGCTGGCCACATGCGTGAACACCAGCGGACTCATACAGGGGAGAAGCCATACGGCTGTAGCATTTGCGACAAAAAGTTCCCTGCTGTTGGCGCTCTACGTCAGCACTACATGTGCACACACACTGGAGAGAAACCGTTCGATTGCACATTCTGCGACAAGAAGTTCACTAGGTCATTTGAATTGCATGTACACCTGCGTACTCATACAGGGGAGAAACCCTACGCCTGTGGCATGTGCGACAAAAAGTTCTCTACTGATGGCAATCTACTTAAGCACTTGCGAATACACACTGGAGAGAAACCGTTCAAATGCACCATGTGCCCCAAGAAGTTTCGTCTATTTGCTCATCTGCAGGGCCACCAGCGCACACACACTGGAGAGAAACCATTCGAGTGCAGCGTGTGCGGAAAGAAGTTTACTGTAAAGTTCCAGGTGAAAGTGCACTTTCGGCGCCTCCACGAAGGATACAAACCAGACAAGCCTTTCAATTGCACTTTCTGCGTCAAGAAGTTTGAAAATGCATTCAAACTCAAGGAACATCTGAAAACGCACACGGGTGAGAGGCCCTTTGAGTGCAAATTATGTGACAAGAAGTTCGCGGCCTCTGGTAATCTGAAGCAGCACGAGCGCACCCACACTGAAGACAAACCCTTCGAGTGTACCACTTGCAGCAAAACGTTTCGAATGGCAAGAGATCTCCGTAAGCATTTGGTCACTCACACCAAAGAGAAAAACTTCGAGTGCCCGTTATGCGACAAGAAGTTCAACAGCTCTAGTAATCTGTCTACACACAAGCGAACCCACACGGGAGAGAAGCCATTTGCGTGCACACTGTGTGACAAGAAGCTCAGATCATCGTCTTCGTTGCGTAGACATCTACTCACCCACACCGGAGAGCGGCCCCAGCCCTGTGCGTGCACCCTCTGTGACAAGAAGTTCTGCACACCATCCGCCTTACGCTCCCACTACATGCGAATCCACACTGAAGAAAAACCCTTCGAGTGTGCCGTCTGCCACAAGAACTTCTGCACTTCTGGCGAATTGCGTTTGCACCTGCGGTCCCACACCGGAGAAAAGCCATACGAGTGTACTGTATGTGGGAAGAAGTTCTCTGCGTCTAGCAATCTACGCGCGCACTTCATGCGTGCCCACTCGGAGGAAACGGAATTCCAATGTGCCCTGTGTGACAGGAAGTTAAGTTCTGCCGATGCATTGCGTGGACACCTGCGCACTCACACTGGAGAGAAGGCTAGGGGCGACAATGAAGAGGGGTCCTCCAGCTCATTGAGCGCGCGCGTACGCACCGACACGAGACCATTCAGATGCACCCTGTGCGACAGGAAGTACGTATACCGAGCGGCGTTGTATAGCCACCTTCTCATCCACCTAGGACAGCGGCCGAGACAGCGGCCCTGCAGGTCCTGTAAGTGCACCCTCTGTGACAAGACGCTATCCACAGAGGGGGGGCTGCGCATCCACATGCGAACCCACACTGGAGAAAAACCCTTCGAGTGTACCGTCTGCCCCAAGAAGTTGAGTTCTGCTGAGTCATTGCGTGCTCACCTGCGGACGCACACGGGAGAGAAACCGTACGAGTGTAATGTCTGTGGCAAAAAGTTCTCTGTTTTAAGTTCACAACGTGCGCACTTGAAAACCCATACTGGGGAACAACCAGAGAAGCCACATGAGTGTTCACTGTGCGACAAAAAGTTCTCCACTGCCCAGCGGCTACGTCGGCACTGGATGATTCACACGGGGCACAAACCATACAAGTGCACCATGTGTGACAAAACATTCACTTCTGATGGCAATATGCGTCAGCACTTGCGAACTCACACCGGGGAGAAGCCATATGAATGCACTTTGTGCCACATGAAGTTCTCTTTGTCTCCAAATTTGAAGCGGCACATTCGTGTGGTACACCAGGGAGAGAAATGATTCGAGTGTGCCAAATGAAAGAAGAAGAACTCTATATCTTCAATTCAGAAGGACCACCAAAGGAGGCACACTGGAGACAGACGCTTTGGGTGTACTTTGTGCCACGAGAAGTTTGTAATGTACTGCGTAAGCACCTGCTTTGTATCCAGTCCAGTTGTAGCGCCTTAAGTTTGAAATGTATTGTTACCATGAAAATAATTTACCTTCTCAGGTTTAGTTGTCTTAAGTTCATGACAGGTGCGATCTTCCAAGGAGGTAAATTACATGTATCCTTTTGTTTCCTGCTTTCTTATTACGGTTCAGTGTTCGTCACAGAATAAAGCTTTACAGTCACACTGAAACATATGTGAGTTATTGTTATTACAAGGGGAAAATAGTGGTTTACCGCACTGCATGATTAAAACGATCCCTAAGCACCATGATAAATAAGTTGAAGCACTTGAATGGCGTTTCTGAAATTCCTATTGACTTTGCAAATTTCCCTGCTTTACTATTGGTAACATATATTGCATGGCCACAGCATTTACAGTAGGCGCTCGCGGAATTTCGCCTCGGGTTTAGAATTGGAGTGGGTGAGTGGGATCGCGGTGGGGTCGCCAGAGTCGGAACCTAGAAAGGATAGCTTAGGATAGCTATCCTTTCTAGATGTAACCGTCCGCACCGATCCGCCAAACTTGTTTCGCTCCCCGCCCCAGCCAGCCCGCCCCGCCCCA